TTTTCTTACAGACAGTGCCCAGCAGACCCTTGGGCAGTTGAAAAAAATCAAAAACAATGTGCATGCATGAAATTAAAAATATAAGATGGTGCAATTTACTCATCACACCATACATACATATATATATATATATATATATATATATATATATATATATATATATATATATATATATATATATATGCACATTAAATATATCATATACACTTCAAAATACTATCTCCTGTGGTGAATGGTATTATAATAATAGCTTCTAGGTTTTTCAACCTTTCCTTGCATTGATTGCTGTATAGTATTTTAGTATTATCCACTAATATCTGTTTTGTATTGATTGTTGTAATTTGGTTGTTTGTGATGCACTAGTTTTGACAGATGATAGGTCAATCTGCAAGAAATTGTGGTGCATGTGTGTAAGGATTAGTGATTACTCCAAATACCTCCATAACCCCTATTAAACTCATTCAACTCTTTCCAAAACCACTGCACTGTCTTCAGACTGACACCTATACACTCTGAAATGTTTATAATTGGAACTTCCAGTATGAATGCCAAGAAGTGCAGAATGCCATTTCCAAATTTCTGGCAATGTGAATTGTGCCATGTTGCCCTTTTTCTTATGGTGCCCAACTGACCCTACTATTACTGTGCAGTTGACAAAATCAAAAGTGCATGCACAAAATTAAAGATATAAAATGGTGACAATTTATCCATCGGATCCTGTATGGTGGCTGGTCACTTGTATCTGAGGATGCCCATCTCCTGGGGCAGCTAGCTAATCCCTATTGCACATTCAATTTTATTCAACACTCACAGATCCCACCTGTGGTTTATACTGCAACTATGCTGAGCAGACCTTACAGTTTCTGGGAGAAAGCAATTTATCTAGTACTAGCAGTAGAGCCCGGCGTTGCCCGGGGATGTAACAGTAAGAGATAGATCAAGTATCGACCATCATAAAGACTGAAAAATAAAATTGACAAAGATTATTGTTTAAGGTTGACGGACACGCATGTCTTAATTAGTTTTTTTTTTTCTTTTTTTTTACGAATTGGTCAAACCCAAACAAAAACATTGTTTTCAATTGTTATGAGTCTATTGATTGAATAGAATTTTATTATAAACAATTGTCTTGTAAATGGAATTTTTAAAGCATTCTGAATGTAAAAATAAAGGAAAAAGTGTGCAAGACAATAAGAAACAGTACCTGCCAAAAAAAAGTGAAGTTTTGTTGAAATCGGCTGAAAAATGTAGGAAATGTGATCCCATATATAAATGAACACACACACACAAACAACCTGGGTTTTATAATAAGTATAACTCGATATGAGTTGTCCCCCTTTCATTCTGGCGACCGGATCATGTTTTCAAATTGATTTCGTGCAAAAACAATTGTGTTTTTCCAATTTTTGGTGCTATCAGAACCACCACAAGGTAATTTTATGCAGTCCTGTGAAGTTTTATTAAAATCGGTTGAAAAATGTAGGAAATCCGATCCAATAAACGTACAGACACACACACAATCTGCGTTTTATAATAAGTAAGATAAGATGATCAACAATCTGAACAAGTCCAGCACACTGATGAAATTCCAACCCGGGTCTCATGGTCAGAAAGCAAACATTCTAACCATTCAACCATATTACATCCTGTATACATAAAAACACACATTAGTACGTACATAAAATGGTACAATGGCAAAGCATAATCCCCCCCATTCACTTGTTTGTCTCTCTCCTGGGTTTGGAGAGGAGTCAATGGAAAAGGAGTGTAAACATTGACTGGTTCTGCAAAGTACTAAAAATCTCAAGAAGAATAAACTGAAGTGGCCTACGAAATATAAGTATATAAAAATGTTCACAAAGAGTATTACAACTAGGCTCATACCACTAAAAAACTACAAAATCATTAGGCTTATTATGAAACTAAATGAACTTAAACTGAAAGGTGTGTATCAACGCAATGAAGAAAGAGCCAAGGTCATGAAGATATATAATGCCTGCCCTTGCTGATGTGTCAAAGTACTGAAGGGCTATGATACTACTGAGGAGGTATTTATATTGCCAAAAATGTTTTTAACAAAACAATACAAAACAAAAGCAAACCCATGGTAGAAATTTTATGAAAATGCTTATTCTACAAAATATGAACAAACCAATTTTTATTTTGGTTTTTATTCTATGCTAGTAGATTAAATTTAATATTTCCAACAAGCAAAATACCTTATTGAATTTCAAATCTAATTTGAATTGATTGGAATGAATTTTTTTTAAATTGCTAAAATTGAACATATTGACAAATCTGTCAAAACAACATATGAAAGAAATATCACAGAAAAGCATTTTTTAATGGAGTGTTTTTCTGAGGTGTTGACAGAGCTATAGTTATATTTGACATTTTAAATTTAAAGGTTACATAACTGTAAAATTTACTTGACAAATACAATGCGAATACCTTTTTTATATAATTAAACTACCCAGTAATATTAAAAATTTAGAAAAATATTCTAAGTAATCTAATATTTTAATGAATTTTAAGTACTTTAGATTTATAGTCCTACTTACAATGACGCTTGAGGAAATTTTAAAAAATTACCAATAAATTTAAAATATACTATAGTTACTGCTCTTATTTTCTGATAATGTCATGTATTTACAAAAATCTGTATGTTTATACACACAAAAAAAATTCAGACAACTTTTTAAATTATTGAGTTGCTGAATTGTAGTAAGCTTTGCCATTTATGATTAGTAAATAATTTAGTAAATATAGTTTTTACTTTACTTATTAACAATATCACCTAACTGATATAAATTAATACAGAATTTTAAAAGATTTAAAATTTTATAAATTATAATTAAAATTTAAAAAAAATTATTGTAAGAATTCATTATTCATCAAAAATTTTCTTCTTAAGACAATAGTGTCTATATATCTTATTCATAAAAACAGTTAAAAGATTTTCCAATTAAATAATATCTTAGTTTTATTGCATTTTTTACTTTATGCTTCAGAGCAGATTTTCTGTAAATGTTTGAAAAAAAATTTGATTACATAAATTCTCTAAGTAGTTGTGCTTATAACTAAAAAACTGTTTTTAGTTATAAGCACAGCATTAAACTGCTTAATGTGATTAGTTTTTAAATTAAGTACTATAAAACTGAATTTCTCAAAATTTCATGAAATTAAAATGAATTGGGCTAAAACCGATATACCATGATTTCTAAAAAAGAAACATTTCTAAAATAATTTCATTAAAATTCGTCAATTATTATTTCCCATACGGTCATTTTTGTTGGCACAAAAAAAAAAATATAAAATTTTAAAAATATTTTAATCAAAATTCAAAAAATCCTTTGGTCTTTCCTATGTTTTTTGACGATAAAACTTTGTTTTTATTAAGTTTTTAGGTCATTTTTTCCATCATGTAGTATGCAGATGCTCATCTTCTCTTCCTGATTGAAACTCTTAGGAAGATAAAGTAAAAAGAAACTTTTTTATTTGTTTACTACTTACTTACTGTCTCAGTATTGTCTGCTTAAATATCAAGAGTTATCATGCGAAATTCATTTATTATTCTAAAATTAAAAAATCATCCTTGTAAAATTTCAGCTTCCGATCAAAAATTTTGGAAACTGCTAATAAAAAATAAAGAAAACTAAGAAAAAAGTAACTATTTATTTTATTACCAAAGTAATTTCACTCGCCAAACAAGGAACCATTTACTCTCTTATCACTCAACAAAGTCAAATAATTGAGGATTTCGTCCTAAGAAGAGGGTTCATAAAATTAATTACCTTAAGCCTTAAGTGATATAGCTGGAGGGTTCAGTTTTTTTACGGGATAAAAAAAAAAATTAATTTAATAATGATAAATGTTTTAGCATGACAATTAAATGCTATTTGAAACGAGATGTTAAATAAAATCGTTACTGCAATTTTAAAAAATAATAAAGTTTATTTTCCTTTTTTTTCTCTAAAAATTAGTTTCGAACTTCCAGAAGTTTTTATTTTATATGCGGAAAAATAGGAATCATTCCAAAAAATAACGAATAGCAAAAAATGTGTAAAATCAAAACTAAAATGTTTAAATTTCGTTTTCTTACATGTTTGTTTGTTTATATGGATTTAAAAATTAACATCTGATTTAACACCCTAACTTTTAAAACATGTGATTTAGCAACCCCAACTTCGACTTTTCGTTTTGTGGCAGCGTTCCAGTTTACGGATGAATTTTACTATAGTCGTAGTAGTGGTCGCCTGAAAAATGGTTACGCGACTATTACTACAATTACCCTTCTTCTAAGTGATAGAGCCATGACTTGGGAACGAACCAAGACTTATTTATTTTTATTTTATTGCATTCTGTTCTAAATATACTGACTGAGACTGATCTATTGATTTCTTTTGAGTTCAATCAATGTATTGCAATGTAATTTGATTCTAGCGGAGTGCGGTATCAGAGTTGCTTGTTGCTAGGCAACCCCACGACGCTACTGCAGCGATGTGTGATGTTGTTGGTCTAACACACAGCCCAACAACAAACAAAGAAACTAATATAACAACTTCGAACTCTGGATTTCAATTCCATTTCGGGAAATAACAATAGAAAAAACGACTTTAAACTATTTATTAAAAGCAAAAAAATATCAAAGGAAAATGTCCGTAAAGATAGAAAGTGTTTCTATCGGACCCGAGTCATGGCGCAACCGAACACTTCGTGGCATGAAAATGTCAGAAGATTTAATAAAAAGAAGCAACAAGCATATTTCTTATCGCCAGTCAGTTGATGTTTTGCCCTATATGAGGAATTTTCTCGTACGTCTGACAAACGACGAGATCTTGAAATATTACAGGGAAGTAAGGGCAGTTGCTGTTAAGCTGCGACATACCATTTCGTCAATTAATTCTGAGATTGTCACAATGACAAGATACCAGGAAAAATTACATAAAGAACTCGATTTTGTCCGAAAAGATATTGTTGTTAACAGAGAAAGTCAGAAAATGAGAAAATTCCGACCTATAACAGAACAGGTATTTATTTTTAAATTCATATTTAGCCTTTACCCATTATGCCCCACTTTTGTTTTAAACTGTTCCGAAATGTAATGTTTATATTGTTTTTAAATGTTTAAATAATTTTCTATACTTACACATTCTTCTTTTTAATCCCAGAAATCAATGTGTTATTAACAATAACAAAATTATTTTTAGTCATAGAAATCATATGGAATGAATAATATTCAAATTCAATTGTTAAAATAAGCCAAATACAAATTCATCTGAATTTCAAACTGTTAACTAAAGATGAAAATAGAAATAAAACTAAAACTAAAAGCGTTATGTACCTTTGAAAGTACAAGCCATAATTTGGAAATTAGAAAATAATTTCTCAGAATGACTCATTATGCCCCTTCTTATTTCATTTTTTTTTTTTAATAATCATAGATTCTATGGCGATGTTTCTCAAGCTTATTCTAGTCATGGCCCCCTTCAATCCAGTGTGTGTTCTTTATGGCCCCTCATGCCAACTTGAGTTCTTATCCTCCCTCACACCCTGTTCCTCAACTTAAAACATCTAGGGAAGTAGGAATATTAAAGATTATAGTTTGGATAGTATTATGGCATCAAAACACTAACTCCAGTTGTAAGACTAATATTATTTGGATAAATATTTTATTTGAATAAACTCATTTATTTACAAAACAAAAAATACATGTACCATCAGCTCTATCTTTTATGATTTCAATGGGATTCCTATGACTGGTGCAGGGCTGCCAAATTGTCAATGTTTGACTTGAAAGCTGGAGAGAGACACATAAATTGCCTCTTTTTTTCTATGTTTTGAGTCTTTGACACAGACGCATCATTCAACTAAAATCAGACTCAACCAAGTAAGATGTGGGGGGAAAAATGAGTAAGAGCAACTTCACATCTTTCTAGATTCGTGGGTAATTCTTATGCATGTCTTCATTCATCTACAGTTTCTGGTATACTCCTTACTTGAAACTCACTTGAGCTGTTGTGTTATTTTGAAGTTCAATGAAACTTTCTTGCAGGGTGATATCAACTTCAGATACATCAGTATTGAAGGGAGCCACAAACCAGTGTGGCATTGTCATTTGGAGTAGATCAGAGAAGCGAGTTTTCATATCATTATGCAATTGCTTCAAAAGATCAACATACACTGCTAGGTCATCATCAAGCAGCTTGGTGGATATATTTGCTAAGGAAGGAAACTGCAAACTCCCATCTCTCAAGGTTCAACCAGAACAGCTTTAGTTTCCCATTAAATGTGTTAATTGCCTCCCTGCAGGAAAACACAGTGGGCTCATTTCCTTGGAGCTCTTTGTCCAGGACATTTAACTTTTTGAAATTGAAAGACAAGTTGGTGAAAACATACCTTGATTCAAACTTTAAATTATGAGTTTCAAATTTTAAGAAATTGCAAACTAAGAACAGCCATTTTGCATAGATCAGATGAAAAAACTTCAATAAATAAATATTTATATTAACGAAATGGCTTAGATTAATTTAATATTTAATTAAATAATAAATGTAATATTTTATTTTAAATAATAATTATTAATTACAGAATACTACATATATATATTTTGTGGGTCCTAAATTTTCTGTGCCCCTTCATGGACCCCCATTTTTCAAACTTGGCTTTGTGGCCCCTGAAAATATCTTATGTCCCCCAAAGAGGTCATATGGTTCATGTTGAGAAACCTTGATCTCTGGTATAAATTTATTTGAATTAAAAATTATACTATTTTTATTGCAAATGAGGGTGAATAAATATTTAATTAGTGTAATGTTATTCAGAGGAAATGTTAGATTATTTTATTGTCTTGAAAGATCTAAATTATCTTTATTTTATTTTCTCTTTCTAAACACACACATGTACATTACTTCATTGTGTGCATATGTGTGAGTGATTTGAGCAAAACAAAAATTTCAAAAGAAAATTTGTTTTTCAACCTGTCTAAATATCATAAAAGTGCATAGTTATATCAAAATTCAAGACTAGAAGAAAAGGATTATTATTAACTCTCTGATTCAATTCATAGAAAAGATGTAGAAATACTGTTATTTTTTATTAAACTGAATTAGTAAAATTAATCTATCAGTAAATATTCCCTTCCAAATTAGGCAGGGGCTGATTTTTAAAAAGTTGTCTGCTTATTTTTTTGAAATAACTGAACAAAATCTGCTTGTTCAATGTTTCTATTGCGTGTTTTGTGTTGTGATCCTGTAGATTCTCATTGCACAACAAAAGCCTGGTATTCAAATTAGTTTTTCTGTTTGTGTGCATACAGCAGTCAAAAACTATTTGGCAGATCTGAACAAAATTCCTCCTTCAGACAAAGTTAGTTTCTTTCCTATAAATGGTGTCTTTGTTTATACAGAAATAATCAGAGCTATTTTTTTTTCATTCATATGACTGTAAAAATTGTAAATGAATTGTAGAATTACTCAGAATTTTCTTTTTCCTAATTCGATGCTTACCATTTGTTTGTAGTTTTATATTTTATTCCATTCAGTATCTTTTTGGTAACAGTTAAAACACATATATTATGTGTTAATGTGACTTGTTATAATCACTAAACTAAGTAAAATAAGCCAACATTGAGTCAGCAAAATGATTCATGCATTACTCATCAAGAGTATTTGAATTTTGGAATTTCTCAGTACAAATAAATCCATATGATAAACTTGATATAATATTGATAGAAGAATATAAAATAGGTTTGATCTTATTCCAGTATAAAATATTTATAATATAGTAAAAAGGAGAACTTAAAAATACAACAATTTTAAAAGCTGAAAAAATTACATGAATATGATTAAAATAAGAATATGTACATCAAAGGTTTTCAGAAAAAATTGTTAAAAGAAATATTCTAATTTTGCAAAATTTGAAGCATTTTAACTTTTGGAACATTATCTACAGTGATTTCTATTAATAAGAAAAAGTAACTGTTGATGAGATGGTCACTAGTCAGTATTTGCTAAAATTAAGTAGAGAAAGAGTAAAGCTATGATAGCAAGAAGGAAAAGGTGAAATGAACAAGGTGAGCTTGGGTTTTTGCTGATGCAGTGGTAGTCTAATTTAAATATGTGAAGAATGGAGACTAAATAGTTTCCCCTAGGAAAGAGATATTCTATATTCAGTTTGTATCAACCATTACAATACACAACTTTACAACAGCTGAAATAAACAGAGCAAGGAACTAGACAGGATATAAAAAACAAAAATTTATTCAGACAAAGTAAATAATATTTCTGAGAAAATAGAATCTATAAGAGAAAATAATTAGACTTAATTGATGTGTCTGCTCAATTTTTATTTTCATTTAAGAGCATTGCTAGATTTTTCTCAGTTAATGTTGAGGGTCATGCGTGCTGCTAAATTTGGAAAGTCTGACCTCTATGGAGCTCAAATCGAAAAGTAAGATATATTCCTTGAAAGATGACCATGAAAAGAAGTTTTTTGCATTGATAAAAGGAAAATGTTAATAATAGTAAACTACAACTAATTCTGTAATAATTATATTATTGTTTAAAGTGTGAATCAATTTAACAGAAGTTGCAGGAAAAAGATTAGTAATTTCTGCTTTGTTTCCACTTGTAGAACAAGAACTGAGTAAAGTCAAGTCTTGTTTAGAATGTCTTTGTGTGGTTATCAAAGATGAATAATGCAGTAATAATCATTATATAAAATCAATATTTTGATAATGTATGAAACAAAATTATAGAACAAGTTGAAAAGTTTCACAATAATATTAAAAATTACCACATTAAATCTTGTTTAATTTGGAATGTTGATCATTAGAATTGTTGGATTACCACTCTCTGATGATAATCACAGGCAGCACTATATTTGAAAGGATCTTCCACTTTTCTCTTTGACTTTTGGACCAGCAACATATGATTCCTTTTGCTCTGATAGACACGAGGCATGTAAGTACTTGAGAAACACAAAATGAAGATTGTATTAAACTGCTCATAACTTCAACTTTGTTTCTTTTAGAGAGAAAGTAAATGAGTGTTGCTGCTCCAAAAGTCAAAGGGAAAAGAGGAAGAGCCTTTCAAATATCATGCTGTCTGTAATTATCATCAGTGGGCAGTAATCTTGCAGTATAATTTTATCAGCTTACTTCTATACTTAGACTAAATACTGATTTTAGATAGACATTGTATAACACACTCTCTATAAATACACAAAAGCTTGCTATTCATCTAAGAAATAGCAAAGTAGGAAAGCAGAAAACTCAATATTATTATTAATAATCATTATTATTTGAATATTTAAATTAGGGTCATATACAACTATTATGGGTAGTTAATAAATATTATACAACATTCTATTGTGGCAGTAGACTATGAAAACCTTATAATGACAAGTTTAATTTTAGAAAAATAGGAAGAAAATTGAACATACATACAATTACACAATATTTTTGTTTTTATGAAACTTGATTTCCAGAAAAAATTCCTTCAGCCCCCACGCAACAAAAAACTAGAAAAATAGTGATAATTCATATCAAATGAATAGAAATTATTTGGAAAAATTGGTGATAATTCCTATTATATAATAAGTTGTATTTATATCCTGAGGTGACTTTGAAATATTTTTGTTTGCATTTAGAGTCTAATGTAAAAATCCTTTTCTTTGATTTTTTTCTTTCTATTATTTTTTAACTGAATTTTTTGGTTCTTTACTTTTCAGTGTAATTCTTTATTTCATAAAGAAAAAAAATGTTGATTTGAAAGCCATGAAATATTCCAGTGAAAATAATTTCTAGCTATCTAATCTCCCATCAGTTACCTTTGCTCTAAAATTTATCAGAGTTAATATGACAATTTTAAAATATTAGTATTACACATACATTTATATAGGCCTACAGTTTTAAGAGAATAAAATAAAGAATCAATATGTATTTTCATATTTCTTTTATTTAAATTATTACTTTTTGTCATCTATAGGTTCTTATTATCACAAGACATAAACTAATAACCTATAAAAA